TACAGTTGCCGCATTTTTCGTCGTGGCTATAGTCGTGAAATACGCAGGAAAACGAAAAGTGAAATATCTGGGAGAGGTGTGCCCATTCACTTACAGATAGATCAAAGTCAGTCGCAAATAGTTGTGTTGAATATGGCGCTTGAGAAACATGGTCCTAAGGAGTCCTAAGGTCCTAAGAGTTCTGAGAGTCCTAAATAATCGTTATGAAACTTGTTTTATGTATTATACTGTATCATGTCAACCTTGAACCACATTTGCGCCTCCCTGCAACTGAGAGTCGTAATGACGGTCTGGAGATGCATCTTGCATCTCATCGCAAAGACCTACCCGTTAGCGCGTGAGACTAGAAGCCTTACACCTTTCGGATAAAGTGGAGTCATTCACCAAATGAAGATCATAGAACCATGAAAGCATAGAATTGTACACGAAGCAGTAGCTAATCTGAAGATCTAATGATGAGCTTTGCTCAATGTTCAGTAAATGTATTTGCTGTGGTTCAATCTTGTCACATATTCATATACATTTACATATTTATGCCCCACCCTATATGCAAAAATGTTCAATAACTCCATTCCTTGGATTGGAATGAATTGTCTGGAGAAGACATGTGCGCCTTCTCCATAGCTGCATCGTTCAGAAATACTTCGAGGATATTGATTTGACCCCTAAATAGCCATCGTATTCATAATACTGAGGTCCTGAATTTTTGATATTGTACGTGACTTAAAGACACAACCGTAGGATAGAGGTCGTGTGAACGCTTCCCTTCGGTCTGTAGTATAGACCCTAGAGGACAATCACAAATGTGGCGTTCCCGTGCACGGAAACCAACCGACAAGAGCGCTTGGGCCTTGCAAAGTAAGCTGCTGAAGCTGCAGATTTTTTCTCTTATCAGGCTGTTGTCTGGCGCTCTCTCATCTGTAGCGCTCTCTCGCCTCATACTCTCCTCTCCGCGCTTAGTCTCTCATTCCCTTAGCACAGCCGATTAGGAAGGTGAGTGAGCCCTTAACCTAAGCGTTTTTCGACGGATTCTTTTCCTTTTTTTTTCTACTGCCGGCCCATTGCGTACCAATACATTCGCATTCACAAAAATGTGATCCTGCTGCATGCCTTCAATTCATAATCTGTAAAGCGGTTGCCTCGGCATTATTTTTATTGGAAAAATTCATAAACTAAAAGGAATAGACTGGTCTATTCGTAGTCATAGTCGTCTTCAATTCCGAGGAATGTTCCAACAGATGGGAAGAACAGACCTTCGTAGAGGTTTGAACCTCCGACACTTACTGCTGGTACAGCCCAGTGGCCACCGAAAGCTACCTGAAAATTTCTACACTCACACGAGAATTTTATAGACAAGAAAACCGAGGCTGTCACAATGCATCAATAAGAGCACTAATAGTTTGCTTGAACCAACCTGGCCATTCAACCAATCTGTGGTTACGGAATATGGCTGATACCACCACTTGTTCGCGTGATCTCTATTATGTGGATTTTCAGGATTTGGTTCCCATAGACCTTGAATTAAGAATTATGGTTCGTTTGTATCTCTAGGAAGTTGAAATGATACATGGAGGGAGAGCGTTGTCTTTCTTTGACCTTGTTGAGTTCTTCGTCACTGATCAATCTCAGGATTTTAAGTATTGGCCTACAGACTACTTGAACTCGGTCCTTTGAAAAGCGTCAGTGTCTTATCTGCTCACTCTTGCCTAGATAGGGTCTCACCTTTGCGTCCCTACGCGCTCCAGCTTTTGCCTTACGTGAAGTGGCTAACTCGCCCCCACCCCCTCCTCCCACCCTGACCCCTCCCCCGATTGGATTCTCTTGCCAGCAATTTGCAAAGTAAAACCGTAGCTGTCCTCTACCCGTCTGCACCGCAGCCTGCCGCGACAGGGAACATGAAGGAGGGTCTGAGTGGTCACCTAAGCAGAGTTCAGAGCTATGAAAACTCAAGTATTCGGTGAGGACAAGAGTGGGACTTGGGGTGAGGACAAGAGTGGGACTCCTCGTAAGGAGCATATACCCGAAAGAGCACGGCTCGGCTTGACTCCCGCACTGCGAGTCTTGGTTGGAGCGCAACTGATGTCGTATTCGAGAATAACCCAGGGTGTAGCATGCGTTCAAAACGTAAGAGCTAGTTTCGGGACACCAAGCTGCGGGGACATTGGAATGACGTGGAAGCTTTCCCTAATATTTGAGTCTTTACTGCGGAAACATTCTCGGGAGGACTTTTCTCTGGATCATTTCAATACCCCTGCGATGGTAAAAAGCGAAAGTGTTCGCAATGATAATGCTTTCAATGCAGCTTCTGTCTGTTTCTTAGGTGGAATTGAAAAAGACACTATTCAAATACTCGGGAAACTGCGCAGTTGAAGGCAAGTGGCACGATTGGTGCTAGAGAAGAGCAAGTGTGCTTACCATGAAGAAATTCTAGGCATACAAGGAAGCGGAACGTGGCACTTCCGTAGGCCAAAGGCCTGGCAAGGCCCCTTGCTCAATCCTCGACGCCTCGTCTCTCTGCCTGTCTAATGATTCACTACTCCGGCTGTCGGCATATCGTCATCGAGCCGCTTTAGGGCAGAGCGTTTACGCAGATGGCGTTAGCACCGAAGTGACCCGCCCCAAGCGGATATTTGCGAGAAAAACAATTGTTCCGCCATGCGGTTTTGGGAATTATGCCCCTTAATTTATTTCTTTACTACGTACCCTTTGCCAAATGTAACCCTTACTTTTATCGGTGACAACTTTTGGTGTCACCCCCCTTTAAGCTCGCAATTTAGCATAGCTCCGCATTCAAACGTGACGAGCTACCGTATTTCTGCAGCACCGAGAATAAGAGTACGATCGGAACCATAGGTAAGATTACGGCTCTTCACGAGAAGTTATCACACTTCTCAACGTACAAACGTTGGAGATAAGCTACTCAGAAACAATAATAACTTACCTGGATTAGCAAAAGGACTGCTACTTCTCCGTCGATGGTGGATACCGTATATGTCTGACAACGCTAGTATAGCCTGAATTCAAAGATGAGCATTTCAGTAAAATCACTGTTCATTTATAATTAAAGGAGCCTTATCCCGAACCCGAAATGTTTCTGCTGCTTCTCTTTCTTCTTCGTTTAATTCTTCTTCTTCTTCTTCTTCGAATAAGGGCGCTTGATAAATTCTTGAATGAAGTTTGATTAAAGAGACCTTTCGTATCAAATGGCCGGGAATATGCACTAGAAACTTGACAACACAAATAACGACAGCCCCTGAGTAAATAAAGTAAATAGTAGTCTCCAGCTTCTCCCTTCTTCTTGTAACCTCGGTCACCTTGCTCTTATTCGTGTTGGTTGTTTATGTCGTACAAAACAACTAACACAAATAAGATAGTTAGTATTTTATAGTGATAGCCGAAAAATGATCGTTTGGTACCCTTAGACAGAGTTTGCGATATTGCTAACGAACGAGGTATATCTTTGTAACAGATGCTTTTCTTGTAAGATAACAGTGACAGTATAAGTGTAATTGTTCAATCAATAGGCCGTGTATCACTGTGTAAGGTACACAAGGTACGCGGGCGGGAGGGCGCGGGAGAAAAGGGCGCGAAATGTCGATGGGCCTGTGGAGAGGTAGTCGTAAGCAGTTTTTTGTTCGTCTTCGGAGTAGGAGAACACTCGCTATCGCGTCTTCGGGGAACTCCCGTTGTCCGGCCTCCCGTCTGCTAGGATTACAGTCGTAAGTCGAGGTAACCCTAGTTTCAGGTAAGCTTAGTAGGACTCAACTGAAATCCTCACTTTGATCGGTATCCTCATCAACTTCTTTTGTTGGTATCTCGGCCACCAGTTTGGCAGAAGTAATCCTTTTTTTGTACATCTTGTCTGTCTGTTTTTTTTGTGGTTGTTAAATAAAAGAATCGATTCTTTCATATACCCTAGTCTCCGCAACGGTGAAACCGTGTAATACTACTATTTTTACCATTAACCTATTATTCGACTATCGCTGAATTTGGGGGGGGGGGCGTAAACGGACAGATGAAACGGTAGCCGGCTAATCATTTCGTTAGCAGAAAGACTTTACTCTTATAAAGGGTGACGTCACTTGTGTTGTGAAGTGTGCAGTGAACACGCACCTGGCCAACGGATACGGCTTAAGCCGTTTGGACACAGTGGGCAGCCGAACTGAGCGTAAATTACGATATTTTTGCGATGCGCGACGCATTGACGCGCTTTTTGGTGTCAGTCGTATGGTTATGCGATCAATAAGGCTACCAAGGGTCTGCTGGGCGGAAAAAAAAAGTCAAAAAAAAAACGAAAATCGAAAAAAATCAACCAATTCGAAAATCGACAGCGTCGCAAGTTCGCAGCGTTTCCCTTGCTGCTCGCGCGGGGCTGTGCGCTTCGTGCGCAAGCCAAGGGAGGTCATCCCGGGTGCCGTCCCAACCTGCGCGAGGCCAACCTGACACGCGTGCCATCCTTCACCTTCTACAGGAACGGCGCTCAGTGTAGATAAAATAAAGAATAAAAAAATAAATTCAAAAATTGAGCTACAAGTGTTAAGGAACTTTCCTTCCAACCTAATAGTAGTCTCCGCTCCCCTTCTTCTTGTAACCTCGGTTTCCTTGCTCTTACTTGTGTTGGTTGTTTATGTCGTACGGCACAGACAACTAACACAAATAAGATAGTTAGTATTTTATAGTGATAGCCGAAAAATGATCGTTTGGTACCCTTAGACAGAGTTTGCGATATTGCTAACGAAAGGTATATCTTTGTAACAGATGCTTTCTTGTAAGATAACAGTGACACTATAAGTGTAATTGTTCAATCAATAGGCTGTGTATCACTGTGTAAGGTACGCAAGGTACGCGGGCG